AGACTGAGAGTTATAAAATTCATAAACAAAAATGAAATTTGTCTGAAAATCATCAAACTTAAATCTTCAATATCATTCAAATGGTGAGGTTTACGAAAAAAATACAAGATACCTTTTTTGTAGAGCATTAAATTTCCTACAAAATTTGTCTAAAACATTTTTCTGTACAATCAATAAATAATGAGATATGAATTTTATTCTATTGGACTGAGAAAAAAATAAAAAAACTGCGATGCGGAGGATCTTCCTATTAAAATGAAGAGCTCATATTTGGTGTGAATTTTTTCAAGGTGTCTACCAACCCATTTTTCTATTAAAATTAATTTATAAAATTATTTAATTATTATCTAAAAATTATTATAGGTTATATTGAAAATAATTGATATAAATAAATATAATAAAATTATTATACTCCATTACACATTTATTATAATTATTATCTACTAATTATAGAGGTTATATTTAAAGTTTATTAATTGATAATAAATAAATATAATAAAATTCTTATATTATTACAATCATATAATAATAATTATTTAAAAATTATTATAAATATTAAAAATCTATAAAAAAAAAAAAAATGGTCATCATTTAGAATACAAGAAAAAAGAAAAAAAAAATAAATAAATGGAACAAAGAAAACAATAAAAAAAGAATCATAAATCACAAATTAAGAATATGCAGGTAGTAAAAGCCAAGATTAAACCGTGTTTTAGATAAGAACAGGTAAATATTATAAATAGGACATCATATCGAGGTCAGTGTCAAAGAACTGAACTGAACTAACATTAGGGATTTCCCCAGAATACCTGAATACCACTATATATAGTTACTTTGTTTCTTTGTTTACATGAATATATGGGTTATATATATACACACATATACTGAGTGTCATATATATATATATACTGACATTATTTACATTGTCATAATAACCCGGAAACCAGTGATAGTTTTTGGTGACCAATTTTAACCCTGACCATAATTCGTAGAATGTTAAATTTAGTTCTGCTGTAAAGCACAATGACCGTCCGCTGACGCACCAACGGTGGGTGGGCCAACGGAAGTACCAAAAACCCGTCAAAAAATTGTTGACTTTCAGTCATTTTATCCCGGCTAAAATTTACACAGTTGATAGTTAATATAATTATTTAAATAAAACAAATCGTCAGCTGGCTGTATGTCGGTGGAAAAGCCATCATCTAGCCATGAAAATGCGTAAAAAAAAGTTTTGAGTTTGTCAACTTGTTTTCTTCTTTTTACCTGACTTCAAAATGGAGGGGAGGTTCTCAATTCGGATGCTTGTATTTTTTGTTCTTTCTTTTCTTTTTTTTTATCAACTCAATGAATTTCTGCCGGATTAAATTGATTGAAACTCAAAATTTGTTTTGACGTGTTTTCGGTGCTCCCGTTGGCCCACCCACCGCTGATGGGTCAGCTGACGGTTACTATAGTTTACAGCACAACTTAATTTAACATTTTACAAATTATGGTCAGGGTTAAAATGACTGATAAGGAAATGTCACTGACTTCCGGGCTATGAACTGAACTGACATTAAGGATTTTCCCAGAATATCTGAACACCACCATAAATTTATACTTTGTTTCTTTGATTACATGAATATATATGTGTCATATATATATATATATACTGACATCATTTATATTGTCATTAAAATCTTGATTATATCTTTGTCGTGCCACTAAAAAAAAAAAAAAAATATTATCCTGACATTTTCGTAATATTTCATAAAATTCCCTCGCATCCTGGTTTTGTTTATTAATTCGATAAAATTGAAAGAAGAAAAAAAAAATAGAAAAAATTATTGAATAAATAAACGCAAGAGATATTATTAAACGATCATAGAATATTATGAGCCATTAAAAGTTCATTAATTTGTCAGTCTCAAATGTTAATGCGTGTAAAAAAAAGAAAAATGTCGAATGTACGGCCTTGCTAATCTTTTTTTTTTTCTTCTTTGTTTCTCTTCTTTTTTTCTTTTCTTCCTTTTTTTCTTTTGTATTATTGATGATCAACATCATTTAGCGACACTAATTAAGGTATTTCGAAATCATTTCGAAATAGTTTCTGTCACATTTGAATTGTAAATGTTTTTCATTCAAGCTTCCCTTTTTGTTTATAAGAGAAAATTATAATACAATGACCATTGTAAGATACGTCAATTATTACATTATTTAACAAAAATTACAATCCATTATTGAGACTGATTTTATGTAAAATCAATGAAAAATAAACAATGAAATTTTAAACGATTGTAATTAAGAAGAATAAAAAAATAATCTAATAAATATAAAATATAAAATAAAAAAAAGTCAAATATAAAATGATTGTTATTAAGAAAAAATGTGATAAATGATATAATCAAAATATAAAATATAAAATTTAAAGAAATATCAAACTTCTTAAAATAAATATAATTAAAAAAAATGTTAAATAATATTATAATAAATATAAAATATAGGAATCAAATATAAGAGTATATTTTAAAATATAAAATATGAAATGAAAAGTCAAATTTTAAATAATTACAATTGAAATTATATTGGATAATAATATAATAAATAATAAATATATAGATAATATAAATAAATAATATAATAAAAAATAAATAATATAAAATATAAGTAATATAATAAAATATCAACAAAATAAGGCCGTTAGTAGGACCCTACATTGTATCAACAAAATAAAATATAAATAATATAATAAAATATAAATAATATATAAAAAAAATAAATAATATACATGACCAATATAATAAAATATAAATAATGTAATAAAATAAAAATAATATAATAAAATATTAATAATATAAATAAATAATATAATAAAAAATAAATAATATACATAACCAATATAATAAAATATAAATAATTTAATATAGAATATATAAATAATATAATAAAATAAAAAAAATATAGTAATTTGAAATTGGCAATAAAATTAAATAATAATAAATAAAACAACATTAACATTATTTACAATAATTAATATTAATCCTACTTGTGTGTGTGATATGCAAGTTAAGAAAAAAAGAATCTTGAAAAGCAAAAACAAAAGCAAGAAAAATAATTTAAAAAAAAAATACATAAATGTTTTAAATTTAAAAAAAAAAAATAATAGTTCAATAAACATATTTTTCTATTTGTATAGCAAACTATAGTTTAATGTATATCTTGACTATATTATAATTCACAAGGATGTTTATACACGATCGATAATAATATTATCATTTTATTGAGTCTAACTATAAACGTTTCTTTCATTATTTTTCTTTTTCTTTTTTTTTATTTTTTCTTCTTCTTCTTTGTGTTCTTTGTCTTCTTTTTCTGCTTTTTCTTCATTTTCTTCATTTTCTTCATTTTTTTCATTTTCTTCATTTTCTTCATTTTCTTCTTTTCATCACTGTAAAGGTTAGAAATCTTGTTTGTGTGTGTGTGTGTTTTTTTTTTTTCTAAATTTATCTACAATTATTTTTATAGAAACAATCTTTCATTCGTGCTCACGAATATCATTAAATTTTTGCAGAAAAAAAAAACAAAATAGAAATGACAAAACTAATTATGCATTAGGTCATACCACATTTTAAAAAATGTCATCACCCAGTGAATAGAATTTTATTATCGATTGCAATGATTATTATTACGTTTGTTTCCTGTAAGCAAACTAATTTGACTGTTCCGAACACGTCATTCAAAATATAGATAGAAAAAAAATAATTTATGATACAAACAACATACAATGACAAGACAACAAACAATGATAGTACAATTTAAAAAAAAAAATAACAATAAAAAAACAATTTGTTCTTATAATATTAAACAAAATGAACAAAAGAGAGAGAGTTCATTGTTTAATTTTTTTTTATTTTAATTTCGAAATTTTCTAATATATATATATATTGATTAAATTAAATAATAAATTAATTTATTAAAATAATTAATAATATTAAATTATAAATTGATTTAATAAATAAAATATAATTAAATATATATATATATATTTAAATTTTTTATAATTTTTATACTTTTTATTTTATAATTATTTATTTATTTTAATATTGTAAAATTTTTTAAATAATTTTTTTTATATTAAAATTTATTAACTTATTATTATAATTTTAATATTATTATTAAAATTTAGATATAATTAATTACATTATATTATTAAATTATTACATTATTATATTATTATATTATTAAATTATTATTAATTATTATTATTATATTTAATTAAAATTTCATTTATTTTTCAGAAACGATGGAATTAATAATATTCTTAGGATTAATAATCCTAACTAAATCACAAATGATGTATCCGGATCAATTCGAATATGTTAAAGCTTTAAATTATCCAATTTATCCTTATGATCAACAACAAATATATCAATCTTCTTATAATCCTGTTGCATATGCTCCACCTGTTGCATATGCTGCACCTGCTGCAGCAACACCTGCTGCAGCAACAGCAACAGGAACATATTCACAAACTGCATATTATGCACCACAACAACAACAACAACCAGCACAAACTGCATACTATGCATCACAACAACAACAACCAGCACAATCTGCATATTATGCACCACAACAACAACAACAACCAGCACAAACTGCATATTATGCATCACAACAACAACAACAACAACCAGCACAAACTGCATATTATGCACCACAAGCTGCATATGCATCACCAATGGTATATTCTTTGGAAAGTGCATATCCTGCAGCACCTGTATATTCTAACCTTAATCAACAACAAAAACGTGTTTCTCGAAATGGTGAAACATCAGGAATAAATGCAAATACAAATACTCAGCCAATTTCACCACTTGCTCAAAGTTTACCACCGGATTGGGCTTATCAGGTAAGATATTAGATGTTATTAGTATTTTTTTTTCTTATTAACATGTTCTATGCCACATGTACCATAAATGGTGGTCTGATGGTACTCGATGTACCTGATGGTCAAGTTTTTAACACGTTTTTTCTAACAAGTATTTTTTGCAAGGTTCAAAACTTGACCATCAGGCCAGGTGTATCATAAATTGTACACTCACAGACATATTATTCATTTGATGAGCTGTAAAAACATACATTTTATGAATAAATTTAATTCTGTAAAAAATATTTACACCCCAAAAGGATGAGGCATTATAAAATAATGTAGTACAGAAACAAAACACATAAATTTGTTTAATTTTAATGAAATACTGTATGAATATATAAGAATCTTTAGTCAAAACATTAAATGGTCTGTATAACAAAGTTGGGCAGAAATTTTGGCAGGGAACGTGTTAATTAACAAAATTACAGGTAACACTCCTACAACAGAATTTTTAAAAAAATTCTGAAAACCTTGGTACACCATTGTATTTTTACTAACACTGTATAAAACAATGTGGGGTTGTTCAACACATATTTAAAAAAATTAAAATTACCCTAAAATAAATAACTGTATAAGAGGGTTACCTGTATTCAAATATTTTCATTCTATTCAATAAATTTTTGTAATTACAACTGATTTTATATATTTGTTGTTAACAGGTTAACGATATTATTTTTAAAGGTGTCACAAAGTTGACATTAAATATTCAAATATTAGATGCAATTGCATTTCTTTTTACTAATAAACAAAATACAGGTAACACTTTTACAACAGGATTTAAAAAAAAATTCCAAAAACTTTGGTACACCATTGTATTTCTACTAACACTGTATAAAACAATGTGGGATTGTTCAACATATTTAAAAAAAAATTAAAATTACCTTAAAATAATGACGCAAATAAATAATGAACTTTGGCCCTGTTATAAGAGGGTTACCTGTATTTAAATATTTACATTCTATTCAATAAATTTTTATAATTACAATTGATTTTATATATTTGTTGTTAACAGGTTAACGATATTATATCAAAAGGTGTCACGAAGTTAGCATTAAACATTCAAAACGTTATATACGCTAACAATCTTTTATCAAGAACTACTGAGAAAGATAACATAGTATTTTCGCCTCTTAATATAGCTGGTGCATTAGCTATAGTTCATTTAGGATCAGCTGGTGTAACATTCGATGAAACATCAAGAATCCTTGGACTTGCTACGGGTGTAGACATTGCAACTCATTCTGAACTGGTTCATCAGATATTTGGTTTATTAATGTCCATTATTCATCAAGGTGTTTCTGGATCAACCAGAACCATAAACATTGCTAATGGAATATTTTTACAGGTATATATTATAATTATAAATTAATGAAATTTTATCAAGTGTCTAATGAAATCATTTTTTTTTTCATTTCTTGTTTTCTTTTAAATCATTTTAGGAAGGTTATCCAATAAGACCAGAATTCAAAACGATCAGTGAAAACGTATACAAAAGTGAAGTGGTCAATCTTGATTTTCTATTGAAAGGAAAGGAAGCACAAGATAGAATAAATGCATGGGTTAAAGATAAAACCAATGGAAAGATTGCATCAATTTTAAATGATGAACCATCACCAAGTACATCAGTTATCATAGCATCTGCGTTATATTTCAATGCAGAATGGGACAGATTTTTCATAAATGGTATTACCAAGAAAAGATCATTTTTCATAGAACCTAATCAACAAATCACAGTTGATTTTATGTACAATGCTGGAGATTTTCCTTTTTATGAGGACAAAAATATTGGTGTTAAAATTGTTGGCTTACCATACAAGGGATTGGATGTAAATATGAGACATTTGTATTTTGTATTCTTTTGTTTGACAATTTAATTAGAAATATTAATATGTATATTTTTGTTTTATAGACAACTATGTACATTATATTACCAACCATAGAAGGTGCAAGTGCATTGGGTGAATTTGAAAAAACTTTGACACCAGAGATCATTGAATATTTGATTCAAAATATGAGAAATCAAACTTCCATAATAGGAATACCTAAAATGAAGATTACAAGTTCTTATAGATTGAAAAAAGTATTACAAAGTTTAGGTTTGGTATCATTGTTTGAACCAACACTTGCTGATTTGAGTTTATTGTCATCTGGTAAAGCAAATCAAAACGAATTAAGTTCAAATTCGGAAGTATCAGCAAATGCAGATTTTAACAGACCAATTAAACAAATTGGTACCACCAGATCATCTGATAACAGAGATCAATTGATATTTTCAAGATTTGGTGGTACATTGGACGAAGGACGTGATAATAGAAAAAATCTATTTCACTTTATTGACACTAATCGTAATTACAATGTTGAACAATGGTCTACAGGATTTAATATTAGAAGATTGCAAAAGAAAAAACGTGAAATTGAACGAAAACGTATCAACGTATCAACGAACAATTTGAACAGAATGAAAAGACAAACAAGTGTACCTGAAGAATTTCTTCGTATCATTGAAAATAGAAATTTCCGATTTTATGGTTTGGACAATCTTAGAAACAGCGGTGCATTGAATAATCCTCATTTATATGCTGATGATGTATTACACAAAGTAGACATTGATATTAACGAAAAGGGTACTGAAGCTGGTGCAGCAACTGCAGTTGTGTTGGAAAGGGATGGTAGACAGAAAAGGTTAATTGCTAACAGACCATTTTTATTTTTCATCAGACACAATCCTACGAAATTAATATTGTTCTGGGGTACCATTAACACACCTACACCGAATTATCCTAACTAGTAAACATTTTTATTGTTGTTAACCCTTTTGTGTTCGAATATCATTCCAAACAAAATTAATTAAAGGGTTGTGCATCGTACGACCCTTTTGTATAGGTTTTTAATAATCAAAAGGGTTAACTTCAATTTTTTATTTAACAGTATTTAACAATTTTTTTTATTTTTTTTTACTATAATTACCTCTAATATATATTTATATGTATGTGATATATATTTATACATATATATATATATATATATATATATATATTTACAATTGATTGAAATCCTATTTAATTATAAGTAGAGGTCAATAATAAATACAAATAAGTTACATTATTTTTTTTTTTCTATCTCTCTTTAACATTTCATTCGCATTACAACATTAAATATAAGACAAGACTTTTGTTTTTGTTTCTTCGCATAAAACACCAAAGAAAATGAATTGCAATTGTATTTAGTGCTTATTTAGTGTTTTTTCTTGTTTTTTTTTTTTTTATCTAGTTTTAGTTTATATAAAAAATTGATTTTTTTTATATAAACCGCTAAATAGTTTTTTTTTTTTTTTTACATTAGTTCATTTTAATACGTTATTTATATACTGTATATTAGTTTTATACTTTATATATTAGTTTATATTATATTTGTTCCTATATATATATATATGAAAAAAAAAGAAAAAAAAAAGAAAAAAAATTTACTTTGTGCATTAATTAATTAAAAAAATTAAAGCTTGCTTCAAAAGGATATTTAATTATTGCATTTTCATTACCTTCATTGAACCCAAATTTAAATTCAAATTCCTCTAACGTCACGTGACACTTAGAGTGTCACGTGATTTATTCCTTGTCGACTATCGATATAAAATTTTCGATTTAAAGATTTAATTATTTCGAAAATTTAATTTAAGATTGCGATGGTTTTTTTTTTTATTATAATAATTATTTAATTGAAATATATTAAATATGATTGTGTGCGAAAGAAATTAAATGCAATTTTGATATTTTTCGCAAAAATTTGATTACAACGGTTTTTTTTTCTTTTTGTTGAAAAATTATAATGGCACCGACAATGTATGACACAAATTTAAATCATCTTTTTTAATAATGATTGAACATAGTATAATTAAGTCGATATTATAATAATAGTATTATATAAAGCACAACAATTTCTAAATTAACATCTGTCGATAATACAGATTCCTATAAATAAAATTTCTACAATAACATTGATTATCTTCAAAATGCAATAAAAGATGGCAGATAATCTCCTTGAAATATTTCCATTTATACAAATAAATATAACCCTCACACATAAATACAGTACAAGCATAGTAATATGAAATCAAAATAAAATCCAATTTTGTAATATTTTAACAAGAGACATGGAAGAATAACAAGTTTTTATATTTCTTTAAGATGATTTCCATCAAAATAAAAATCTAACAATATGTGTAAATAAAATGATAAATATTGAAATTTCATCATATTAAAATTCTTCATAAACAATTAGGTTAGTACATATTTTTATTGAAAACATTTAATATAAATTGTTTCTGACGTAAAAATATTTTCTTTTAAATTGTTATCTATATATATATATAATTATAATATTGCTATCTATCATATATAT